TTAAACAAAAAATATTACACTCTATATCGAATCCACCTATAAAAATCCACCTATCGAGAAATTAATTCTTATCAATATTCCTAATCATAAAAAAAAATCATTACCACGAATACACGTTTTTAACTTCATCATCAAGAACAAATCCTTCCCAATAATAAAATCCTTACCTACCTTAATAAATACCTAAAAATTACAAAAACAATAATACTAAATTTAACTAATTTATCAATATATTGTAATTTCTCCAAAATCAATCGATTTCTCCATCAACATAATCGTGCCAACAATTTTGTACGAATCAACCCCTTTAACCTAAATATAAATTTCCTCGTTAATCAACATTATATTAACAATAATAATTCAATAATCTTTATTTTAATTATACCACTCTGTCATAATGAATTTAGTGACTAATTTAATCCCAGCTCTTTTTAATTCAATACTATATACAAATTAACAAAATTTCGTGTAATACAATTACCATAACATATTTAGACCTCTAAAAATTACTCATACCAAAACGCCAGAGAACATCCTGAGTTAACACCTCGCTCTACTTGCAGGATTTTGGAGGGCATCCGCCTACTACAGGTCCATATGGATAAGATCTGCCAGCGGCTTATGGACATTTTAATCACGAAAAATATTCACCCTAAATCTGCTCTACATAGGGCGCGAGTCCATCAACACCCTGAAAAGCAAGAATGTTCAATCAGCTCTGGCAGCCAGAAATCCTTAGTAGGCACTCAAGACTGAGGCCTCGAAGCCTAGCAAGAATTTCAAATTCATCACGCCAGGTGAATTTGATACCCACATTAAGGCCCAAGCTAAATCCAGGCATAGAGTGAATCCCCGGTCCAAGAAGCCAAAGCAGCGGACTTCATCCTCTGTGGCAAAGGCACCGTTGCAAATCAACCTCAAACTCATCTCAGGCCATTTTCGGAATTCCGAAAGTTATCCCCTGAACCAGCTCGCCATTAATCAGGTTGGAGCAGATGCTTCAGGAGTTACGATTTGCTCTTCGTTGGAAGCGACGCCATATATCGCTGAGGGAAGGCACATCAGCACCTCACTAATAGGCCTGCTTGTGCTAGATAATCTTCATCACGTTAAACTGGGCTATGCTAAAGCGCAAATTATCCGGTTTGCGGGTTAATACATAGCGACAAGCGAGCCAATTTTGCTCAATGCTCGACTAATTCAGCTAGGAGACAGTGCGGTCGTCAGGGCCATCGGAAAGGACCCAATAGCGGGAGTGGGAGTGGGAGTGGCGCCTATGGCGGTTTTCAAGATTAGGCCTTCATAATTAGTCTTCTGTGAGGTATCGATTCGGAGGATCCTCCAGTCGATCCCGTCTCTCAATCTGTGCAGGCGTATCATCCTTCTCGTTGGTTTATGAAGCTTGGGTGTGATGTTTTTCTGTTTGACTGGCTCGTCGTGTGAAGCGGCCAAGTCGGAGAATTTCCATACATTTCTCCGGGTTAATAAGTCGGCCATGCCTGAGCTCCTTAGCGTTAACGTTCTAGGCGTCTATCTGGAACCACGATCTAACTCCAGCAAAGGAGTTAATGAAGATTTTGCGGTGATTTGGCTCCCTAATGCATCGTTAGGAGATGCCCAATACAAATTGAGAACGACTGCTGGTGCTCTTTCTATTGCCCACTTGAAAATTCGCGAGGGCTTGCGGATTCCGGCAGCTAGGGAAAAAGATATCCACAACGCCTTCAAGCCGGGCATGGAGTACATGAAGGTTGTGGTTCGGTTCGTCTATCGGGCACATCCTCTGCCCTTTGGCATTCAGCGTGCGGCCGTCCAGCGGATGATTAAGGAGAGGCACCTTTCTTGGGTGTGCCTGGGACATTGGACAATTTAGCCCGCTGCGCCTCCGGTTTTTGCGGCACCGGTGCAATAGCGTATCGATGAGGTTGAGGCTCAGCTCCGGGTCAATATCCAGAGAATGATCAGGAAGAAATCGGCCAGGTCCACGACACCACCCCCGGGTTGTCCACAGTTAGCATATGCAAAGCTTTATGAGGCTGGCAACGCCTTGGAGGCACGGAACAACGTCTTCAAGCACTCACCATTCTTGCGACAGGCTTTCCAAAAGGCCCGACCTATCCCAAGCCTTATAACTGACTTCACGGTTGCTGGAAGTCCTCACGCGCGAGGTCATCATTGGTGGCCAAAGGCCTCTGTGGTTATTAAAGACTTGAATGTGGGTCCTGCCGATCTTAAGGCCTTTCGCGTATGGGGATCAGCGGAATGCTCAATGCTTTACGACTCAGCATTTCGACTGCACCCTTCGACCAACTTCTAAGAATGCTCAGGAACATAACCTCATTTGGCTATCTCCTGAAGCATTAGCGCTTTTTGTAGGCATCCAGATGTGGATCAGACCTGAAGCGACGCTGATCCACCTGAACTCTTACCGTAAGACACTGCCACTACGCAATACAGGTGTTTTGGTATGTTCGAGAACTCTGTCAATGGTCACCTCAAGTGGCACCACCAGCAATCTCTCTCCACATCAAAGCGCACAACCTATAAGAGTCTCCCAAGTCTCCCCAATTCCGAGACCGAGCCGCGATGGAGAAGTTGTCATGAGAAATGATCTGCTTGGCATATCACGGGATATCGGTTCGTGAGTGGTTTAAACAGCTTCATCGACTACAAGCTCTTATACAAGCGACATTGGCTGGTAATGACAGCGTCCACGCGGTGACGTATCGCCTGAAGTTTGGAGCGCTATATTGCGGGCGCCGGGGTTTCAAGATGGTTTTGCATTGTGGTGGTAGCATCACAGAATAGCTGACGACCACGATGCACCTCAGGTTCTCCCCACAGTTCCACCGTCAGCTGTGTGCATCGAGCCCATCTTCAGGTCCAACAAGTAGAACTTTTGTTAATTTTGAGAGTTGGCACCTGCGGAAGAGAGGCCAGTCTTTGCGGGCCAGTCTTTGCGGCTAAAGTATGACAAGACTTCGCGTGCCCTATACCATGACCTCCAGACAACGAAGCGAGATGGAATTCATCTCCTTTGCCATGACAAGGAATACACTATCCTGGCCGGACGAGACTGGTGGGAAAGTGCATCTCAATGCTCCTATCAATACCAGAGGCACCTTGTTGTGCTGTGTCGATGAGGTTCCAGCCCCATGTCAATGGCGACCAATACTCCATCGAGATTACCACCTCTGTCGGTGCCAAGATGGTTCTCTGTCAGCGGCAGTACCCCTCATCTGTTCAAGATGTTCACGATGAGCTGCTGCATCATTGGACTCTGCGTTGGGATAATTGTACTCAACCGACGGAGGAGGAGTGGGGTAGGATTAATTAACGGGTTTTCCGGGCGTACGTGCTAGTCATGTAGTTTGACTTGTCCCCCATCACACCGACACAGTGGAAACGAGCTCTCAAGCGTTGCAAGCCCACGGCAGCTAGAAGAGTTGATGGAATTTCCTACGTTGACCTCGCTCGTTTCCTTGACGCATGGCTGTCAGTGCTCCTGGACTTCATCCAGCAGGTGGAGCATGGACGCAACAGCTGCTCTATGGGGTCACAGCGTCTTTGGCTAAGGCCGACAGTGCATGTGAAGTTGGCTCTTTTCGGCCGGTGGGGATTTTAATCCGCTCCCCCTATTAATGAATGACCCCAATTAATATAAAATGGACATCCGGGGCCGGGGACAGTATTTATTTATAGAACTTGGGCGGCTATCAAACCTCGGCAGCTACGCATTCTCGCTCCTCAGGTTCCTAAAGCAGCATGTGGTCTTCTGTCAGGACGTGAGCCAGCCCACTGGCTCAAGCTGCAAGCGACCATTCGACCAGGAAAGCTGCGTTTCAAACTAACCAAGTTCTTTCCGGCCTTCCCCTGATTTGCGGCGAGCTTTCAACACGATCCAGCATTTGGGTGTTCCGGAATGTGTTCCGCTGCGTATATTGAGCTTTGTGGACAATTTCATGCTGGTTGCACCAGATCCTGGACAGTTAGCGCAAATATGGACATGCTTGATGGCATTTCTTGCTCTCTGGCACATGGAAGCAGACTCTGGCAAGACCTATTCTTGGTCATTGAGTGGGCCTTATCGGGATTAGCTGAGGCTGCTAGGATTTCAGTGCGTTTTCAATGCCACGGAACTGGGTAACCATATGACATTTGGAGGTCGTAGGTCCATTGTTTATCAGGAGATGCGCTTGGCACGGTTGAATGCTAAATGGGATCGGCTGCGGCTTTCCAAAGCAGCGATTGCTCAAAAACTGATGTCACTCCGGACGGTCTTTTGGCCCACTGCACTTGCGAGGTCAAGCCTAAGCACTTTGCTAACCTTCGTTCGCGTGTGACGAAAGCACTCCGAATTGGCAAAGCGGGTGTCAACCCGATGCTTTGTCTTTCTTTGTCGCTGGACATGACCACGGACCCGTTTTTTTTCCATGTGTTCCAGACCTTCCACACCTTCATTCGCTTGTGTTCAAATAATTTTTCTATCATGGATGGTTGGACTTCATGCAGCGATTTGATGGCCAGCTTCGTATTCGAAACTTTTGGACATCAGCTCTCAGTTGGGATGGTCCTTGGAACTGCCGCTGGTACAGGATCATGA